GGGGAAGGATGGGGCAGAATAATGGCTGGGGTAGACCGGAAAGGATTAGGGTTTTTGATTGGTGGGCGTTCCCCGTGATGCGGTAATTTGGGGTGCAACTTCAGAAAAGTGGACCTGAACTGGAATGGATGGGGATATAGAGAAAAAAGAGAGCGCTCCTTCTTGTAACTCTTTCCCTCTTTTTGTTGGTTACTCATTTTGTTTTTGTAATTTGCTTTGTATTGTCCTTTTGTCGTGTGCTTGCCCTTGATCGTGCTCCTCGCATGGCTGTTACGATCACTCAGGCTTTTTGTATTTGTGAAATTTATTTATATATTAAAAAGAATGTTGTACTCGTAGGCGTTCGAGGCTTTGTGGTTTGCTTTGCTTTGCTCTACTCTCTTCGTCTTTCTTGCTCACAGCTTCCTCTTCTCCTCCCGTGCTCAACAACACATCGATTTGTTGGTGTTCGTGCAAAGGACCAAGACTGCTGTCTCCAGCTTTTGCCCTGTGCAGTATTGACGTTCGCAGTTTGATATTAAATTTTCTAGCGTACAAGTTTGACGGACATTGATCGAGCAGACTAGTTGGACCGTCCGTCGGCCGGTTCCATGTTGTAGTTTCGTTTGAGGGTGTGTATTGTGTTCTCCCTTCTCGTTGAGGAGACCTTTGTGTCCAAGTAGCGAAGTGTCTGCTGTTGTTGGGAGTAGAACAGAGGCCGAAATTCGGTTTGGCTGGGGAAGTACAAGGTGACCGCGGTCTAGGAAAATCCCTTTCTTGTTGTCGAGTAGCGGGGTTTTAAATGGTTATGCGTCTTAGTAGGACAAGTGACGGCAAGGTAGGTACACCTGCTTTTGGCAGCTGAAGGCGCGTTTGGGACCCTGACAGCGAGAGAGGAGTGAAAGAAAGGGTAGGGGTGGTTTTTGATCGGGTTTGGTGGGTGGGAGGGAGGGGGGGGGGAGGGGTAGGGGGAGGAGAGGGGGACGGGGAAGGCTATGTTGGAGAGAGAGAGGTGTCCCGGTGCTGTCAGGGCAAGACCCAATTTTTGTGGTCCTGAAAGTGTTTCCGTTTTGTCCAACACAGAATGACTTGTTTTATATCTGCCTTGGGGATGAGAGTTTTCTGAATAAGGAAGATGCTGAAACCATTCACACAACGGTTTTCCAAATTCAGGCTGTAATTTTTCTGCTAAGCAAGCTGTCATTCATTCATTCATTCACTGAAGTCTGTGTTGTGATCTATGGAGTGCTTAGAGTGTGAACTGTCCATTGGAACCATCTGTGCACTCTTGCGGTCCTCCTCGCTCCCTGAACGCCCCTCCACCTTATCCTTTCCCACCTTGTTCCCCCACTCCCTCTTCCTCTCCCTTCTGTAGCCCTCCCTCCCTTCCTTCCCTGCCCTTTCCCGTTTCGGTCCCCGTCCATGGTCCCATTCCTGTTCCACTTCCGGTTGCTGTCGTTGTTCCCGTCTCGGTTCCATTACTGTTCCCGTGCCCTTCCGTTTTCCTTCCTTGTCTCTTGTTGTCCATGCTACAGTCTGCAGGATGCCTGGTACGTCTTCGTGAGATGAGATGGTAGGAAATATCCTGATCAGTGTGTGTCTTGTTTTGGTATTTGTCGTTCTTGTTGGTTGTGTTGTTTGTGTATGTGGTCGACTTCTACAGCGTGTTATTGTACAGTCCAGTCATCTCTCATGACTCGTTAAGTCGTAAGGTTCTTTCTGTCACACTCAACAAGGGGCATCGAGTGGTTACCCAGGGTGGCCGAACTCCTGGGGTCAGTAGGGGTCGACGAGTCCCCCGCCCCTTCCCCCCTACACCGGCCTACTGCAGGCGGGCTGTGGGCAAGTCAAAACTGACTGATCAGCATGTTGCATGGCAGGCGAATCCTATCTTCTTTCAGTACTTTTCGTATATAGAAGAAGAGCACATTTTGCATGGCATGGGAATGCTCTCCGCTCCGTTCGGCGTTTTGGCAGTGATGAGTAGGATGGCGGAATTTCTTGGAGCATCGGATTCGGATGGGGTATGGGGTACTTCTGCTGTTGATTGGCTGCTGCTAGGATGTGTGCACTAGGCGAGACGCCCCATTTGGTTGTCCCGATCTGGGACCCAACCCCTTCTTTGTTGCACAGGTGGATGGAAGTATTTAATGTCTATCTGATTCCGGAAAGCTTGCCACCCCCAATTGCCTTGCGTGTGAGGGATGTACGCTGATCGGAAACGGTGATTAGAACTTAGAAGTGAGATTTGTCGTTGATGAATTGAAGAGAGACCCTCCCGCCTTGGTACTGGATGGAGTTTTGGTTAGGGTAGAGTTTGGTAAAAGTAACCTTCGAGAGGAGAGAGCTGGTCCGATGCCTTTTGGCAATGCTGTTGTAGATCGTTCACTAACATTTTTGTAAAGGGCATTTGTCACGCGAGTCCGGTTGCGGTTGTGCTCCAAAGAGTCGGGAAGTAGGTGAGTGGTTTTCGCCACACTGTGCCACTGGTCTAAGTGTGGTATTGCTGGGCAGGGCCGTGTGTGGTCGACAAAGCTGTGTTGTTGGACGCCCTAGTGGCTTTCGGAGTCGTGGTAGTTCGCTTGTCCTCGCAGAGGTGTAGATTTGTTTTGCAGGGTTGGAAAGGGTAATCCCTCGATCTACAGTGAGGGACGAGGATTAATCGTGTATCATCTCTCAGCTGATGATAATCAGTGAGCAGCTGCTTCACTACTAGCGTCTGGGAGGGGAGCGCAGCTTGCTGCAGATTTGAGTGCGTGCTCTGGATCAGTCACAGCTCGAGTGGCTTAAAAGGAGGGATCGATGGGGTTGTCTGGAGGCGGAATGGGGGACCTGACCGACCGCATTCCCTCCCCTCCCCCCCCCCCCCCCCCTTTTCCTTTTGTCACTGACAATCATTGCATGGACGGACGGATTTCGAGCTGCTTCATCGAAGCCTTCCTGAGTTGGCTGCGGTGATTGAATGGCAAGACTGATGACCTGCTCGCGAGCCTGGCAAGTCGTAGAAAACTGTGCTTCCTCGACGGGCACTTTTGCTGAGGCAAGCAGCTGCTATGGCCAGAACACCTGTTGCAGGCTATGGCTGTAACTCAGAAGCCATGGTGTCACTGATCCTGTCAGACAGCAGGATGTCAGGACTTTCTGCTCTATCCAGGCCAAGGGGGATGGAAGTGGTGCGCAGTTTGTGAAGAGAACGATGGCGTGGCAAATAGCATGCTGCCTGGCCACCTCCCTCTCTCTCTCTCTCACTATCTCCCCCCCTCTCTCTCTCTGTCTATATATATATATATATGTCTGTGTCTTCACCCCGCGCCCCTTCCCTCCGTATTATTGCTTTGTCCATCTGCTTTGCACCTCTTCCCCACCTCCTCGTCGCCATTTCCCAGCACCCTCCACCCATCCTTCCCCTGCGGCTTCCGCTCGTGGTGATCTTGTGTGTGTCTGCATTCATCAAAGTCTGGTAATCATGTTCTTCTTGTAAAGCTTGCGCGAGGGTCATTGACAACCATTTCGTTCGGATGAGGTCATTGCGACCGAGAGCAAGCGAAAGTAGGGGTGTGCCTTTGCCCTCTGGTGATGATTCCTGAAATGATCCGTTGGGGATTCCTCGGCTTACGGTTCTCAATGTCGTCGTGGTGCGTCTGTTCTGATAACGCCGATTCCCAGTTTGGTGGCCGACATGCCGGGGTGGCTGCTGGACAACAGGACGGATATTTCAGCAAGCTATTAGGGTTTTCCAGGAAGGCTGCCTGAGCGGCTTTGGCGGCGGTGGGTGGTTTCCCGCAAGGTTGTGTTGAAGTGCCTAAGAACCACCGCAACTGGTCTGTACTCTGGACGGGTGCTGTACACACAGAGCCGGGACATGAAGGCGGCACAAGCGCGCGGCTTGTTTGCACAGCCGCAGAGCAGCGTTATGCGGCAGAGCAGCGTCATGCGGCATAGATCTGCCGTTTAGGGAGAGCTCTGCGGCACGGATCTGCCCTGAACCCAGATGTACACACATACGTCTGCGAGCTGGATTCGTTTGTGCTCGGATATGGTCTCGGACGAGTGTGCTGCGGAGATTTCACACCTTGCGGATTGTTCTCCTTTCCCGATGGCAAGCTGCCCCGCCTACTCTTCCGGGAAGATGCACTCTCGATGCGGGACTGTTTTTCCCCGAAGATGAAGTTATTTCCGCTTCCACTAGCTCTCTTGGGTGCCAAGTTATTTTAAGGTCAGTACTGGGGTGGTTGGGTCATGCTGCTCACAGACGTGGGCCATCGCATGACAACACATTTCTGTTAGTGGAAATTCTAGTTTCCTCCTGATAGCGATCCTTCCTTGGCAAGCCCACCGTCTCCCGCCCGATACTCTCTCTTGTCCTAACACACACAACAACGTCGCTTTCCCCGCCTTCTTGCCATCGCGTTGGCTTTTCGGTTTGGAATTCCTCCGCCACAGTAATGGTTTTGCTTGCTTAGGTTGTCCAGTGATGTAATGTTGCCCTTCTAAAACTCTTGCTAGGGTACGAGGGATCCTGGGAACCATCTCCGAGTCCTCACGGAACTTGCACTGGTCCACAAGGAATGCTCAAGCGTACTAGACATTGAGAGAGGATAGTTACGTAGATTTGTTTGTCAAATTGCACTGGTGGTGTATATCGTGTGATTAGAATACGTCAAGTTATGCAATTCTGATCGCCACCCTTGGTTTGACGACCGAACGGGTGGACCCATGAGTCGGACAAGACAAGGCCTGAGAATCTTCTTCTTGTTGATTTGCCGGACATGTTCGTTCTGTTGGATGAGTGGCTCGACTACTTATTGTGGCTTCTTCAACACTCTGCACCCTCGAATAACCATCGACTGTGTCTTAAAGTGTGCACGTTTGTTCTTTCCATAATCCATGCGTATGCTCTCTTCTTCAGGATCAAGACGACTCCTATGATGGTGCCGACTCTGATGATGACTGTGCTGCTGGAAGCGAGGACAAGATATCACTGAGTGGGGACGACCGCACATCGAAAGCTCTGACTAGGAGTGAATCTGACGACGGCACCGTAGGTGGCCCTCCTTTTCGCCGGAAACTAAAAATTATGCGCCATCTTGGGCTCGCGCCTCCTGAGGACTCTGCATTTGTGCATACGCCGCCGCCTTGGGTAAGCCGGTCATGAATCATCAGATTTTGTTTCTCGTCTTGTAGCCCTCCGTAACACTTTGAATTTCTCATCGATCAGTCCCCAAAAGAGTTTTGGGTAACATTTTTGTTTTTCGATGCCTCACGGCTTTCTCCTGCTCCCGTCTTCCCAGAGCACCTGAAAAGAGTTTTCACATTTCCCTCCCTTTTTCTCGTCTTTCGGGGGCTCGCTCCACTTTCTCCCCCCTCTTCCGTCCATCTCATATTCTTCCTGCTGGGTTGTTGACTGCTGAGATTCTGGGCGCATTTCGAGTCTAGGTTCATTCAGGTAAAGTGGGGGAGGGACGGAGGGAGGGAATGGAATTCTTAAGAGCGTGATTTCATGTTGTCGTCGTCCGGACTGCTGTGGTGGCGGTAGAGACGGGTGAGTCCAAACTTGCGGACACTGAGCCTGAGCTTTCCTGCTTTTCTCTTCGCTCACCGTCGGCTCACGTGCATTTTTTTTTTCACATCCGGAAAACTGAATTGCCGACTACTACTGTACCTCCAAGACTTTCTTGGGCTCACCGTCGGCTCACTGAATTGCCTGGTGATTTCTAGTTAGATGGTGCTGGCATTACTTGCCAAAGTCCGCGGCGCGGGTTTTTATCCGACGGCAGGTTGGAAGGGGGCATTACTCTGCGGATGGATACCAGTTGATGCCGTCATAGAATATTGGGAATTGGTGTGAGAGCTCGCTCGCATGAGGAGATGCTCGGACGTTGCTTCATGATGCTTCTTGAGGGCTTTTCCCTTTCTACGGTGCATTGATGTTAATACTATGTAACACAATAGAGACATGGTCAGGAGTACGAGTGCAGGCCATTTCATTCCTTCTTACTCCGTGTTGGCGACAACAACAAGACAAGTGGACAGGCCTGTTTATCTCCATTGTGCGCCCTCAGCCTCTGTGTCTCTCGGTCTTTCTGTTTCTCCGTATGTCTGCGTCTTTTCCACTTTGTCCGTCTGTCTTTCTGTGTCTCTCTGTCTGTCTGTCTGTCTGTCTGTCTGTCTGTCTGTCTGCCTGCCTGCCTGCCTGCCTGTCTGCCTGTCTGTCTGCCTGTCTGTCTGCCTGTCTGCCTGTCTCTCTGTCTGTCTGTCTGTCTGTCTGTCTGTCTGTCTGTCTGTCTGTCTGTCTGTCTGTCAGTATCTCTCTCTCTCTCTCTCTCTCTCTCTCTCTCTCTCTCTCTCTGTGTGTGTGTGTGTGTGTGTGTGTGTGTGTGTGTGTGTGTCGGTCTGTCTGTCTCCCTCACTCTTCCCGCCTTACATGTGTGCATGTACACATATGCACACACGGACACAGGGAGAGGGTAGAGGGGAGGAACACTTGGCCTGGCGAGATGCCTGACCTACATGCAGTTCTCATACTGTTTGGTGAGCACAACATGCACAGAACCCGGGGGGAAGGGCTAGCGATTTGGGGGGAGTTTTCTCGTCTTTTTCTTGTGTGTGTGTGTGTGTGTGTGTGTGTGTGTGTGTGTGTGTGTGTGTGTGTGTGTGTGTGAGAGAGAGAGAGAGAGAGAGACGTGTCTGGTGTAAGTTTGTATGGGGTTTGAATTTCCATGCTTGGCTTCACAGTTTGTTGTTAAGTTTAAAATGCTGTCTGTCAACAGTCTTGCGCATGACCTACAGTTGGTGTAAAATACCCTGTTTCATTCACTAGTAGAAGTAATGGATGATTATTGGAGGAGAGAGGGTCGTTTGTGTAAGCCTCTGTGTACAAGGGCTCTCGAAGTGGAGATAATAATACTAGAATAAATTCGCTTTTGTTGGTGGTGTCTTTTTGTTTTTGCCCAAGTTCTGAGGAATCTCCATGGTTGTTTGAACGGCATTGTTCTCGGCAGGTTTGCCTTTCTGCACATAATTTTCCTGAGCTGACAGTGAAGCCAGCGCTTCTTCTGAGGTCAGGAAAGTAGAAAAAAAGACGTGCTCGCTGCATCCCTGTGATCTTGAACTGCTGTCACGCGTCTGACTCCAACTCTTGACTTTCAGGGAAAGGAACGACAAGGAGGCGTGTTATCAACCTGATCATTCTCTGCTCACTTCTTAGAGGAGTACGGAAATGTATTGAAAGGCACCCACTTCTTTCCGTCCTCTACTTAGCTTTCTGCTTSCCCCCCCCCCCCCCCGCCCCAACAACCTTTTCTCTGCATCCCATGATCCTTTGCCTGCCACTCTCTTTACATATTTGGCGCAATTTCTAACAGAAAATAGGCCTACGGTTGCCGTGTGAGAGAGCTACGTGTAATCTGGAGGGGGTTGCTGAGGTCGTCATGTGACATAGACTGTTCTTGTATCAATGCTGATTGTCTTTCCACAAATCAAAAGGCGTGTGTATATATGGCTGACCGAAAAAAAACACAAGGGGTGTGTGATAGAAAAGTAAAAGACAAGTGGTGTTTATAATACTTTATATATGGCTGACGGCAAATTGGAGTACAGCCACGGGCCAAGTCCTACTAGCAGCGCCGAGTTTCCTTACGCCCGAATCTGGACGTGTTTTTGGAGATGTGCAGAGACAAGTCCCACTAGCAGCGTCGAGTTTCCTCAACGGCGGAATCTGGACGTGTTTGTGGAGATGTGCAGAAACAAGTCCCACTAGCAATGTTGAGTTTTCTCAACGGTGGAATCTGGACGTGTTTGTGGACATGTGCAGAAAGAAGTCCCCTCTAGCAGCGTCGAGTTTTGTCAACACCCGAATTTGTGGACATGTTTGTGGAGATGTCGAGAAACAAGTCCCCACTTGCAGCGTTGATTTCCGATCTTCCTCACCCGCACCTCTCCACAAACACGTCCAGGTTCGGTCGTTGAGGAAACTCCACAATGCTAGCGGGATATGGCTGCAGTGGCTGTATCTGACGTCTTCAAAGTTGTTGGAGATGTTTATGGCGAAATTGGTCTCAGGAGAAAAGGGATTCAAATCTCTCTCTCTCTTTTCATTTTCTTTGGGTGCTTTGTACTGTACACCCCAGCCCCACAGTTGCCCTTTTTTTTTTTTTGGTTTCGATCTGTACATTTCATTTTCTTTGGGTGCTTTGTAGATGGCCTCTTAAACCACCGATACCTCCCTCAGCTATAAAAAGAAGTCGCGGCCGTTAACACGCCGCAACTTTCGGGGGTCGGTAGGTCCAATGCCCGGTCGGTGCAATTTGCACCCCCCCCCC